GCCAGCGCACCCCTCCGCCCCGACCCCCGTATTTCGGCACGGCACACCCCTCCGATCCTCCTTTTTCTTTTTTGTGCAAGAGCCATGGCCCACGTGCCACTTGTTTCCCACCACCTCCACAGTTTGTGCAACTTGTGCACCAGCACAGTCAACCACGACAGTAAGGATGGGGCAGCTCTCCAAGGCCACCCTTGCATCCTTGCCCCTTCGGTATTCGGCATCCTTCGGCATTCTGCTGCGCTCCGCGCGGACGACGTCAACATGGCGTTCAAAGGTTTTTGCATCCTCACCGCGCGTCCTTGCTATCCTGGTCAAGTGTGTTCGGCGCTCCGCCGCCCCCGCCGAGCGCTTGGAACCCCCCCCCGCCGGCCCCTGGGGCGAACGTCGGTGCCAATTGTCACCGCGTACCAAACCACCCCAACCCAACCCGAAGGCCTCAATCTGCCCTCCATTTCCAGTGGGGGGGGGGGGGGCGGGGAACACTGAAAAAAACACATGGAACCCGTACCGCCCCCGACCCGAAATTCGGGTCGAATTCGGGTCTTTGGGTTGGTTTGGGTGGTTTGGTAGGTCGTCAAATGGCCTCGCCCTGCCTCGCCCCCTCGATCAGCAGCAGCAGCACGGCGTCCCACGAGGCCGTGCTGCTGCGCCCCTCGGGGGGCCGCGGCAGGCCTGCAGGCCCTCCCCATGGTCGGGCCGAAGGAAAGGGGGGGGATTCGGAAAGGGGGGGCTACGACATCTGCTGCATGCAGCTGGTTTCGGCCCCGCCGCCGGGCCCATTCCTCGATACATGGGCGCCTCCCGGCGCCGGGAGGCGCCGAGAAAATCAGCTACGCGAGCTGATCCTCAAGCCCCCCCTTTGCTATCCCCCCCTTTCGCCCGACCCCACATGGGGTGACGTCGTGCGCGCCCTCTCTACAGGAGGAGCACTCGAAAGTTGTCCAGAAAGAGAGTCCGGGGGGCGATTTTTTGGAGCATGCTTGGAGCACTGTTGGAGCACTTGTGGAGCATCTGTCTGGCTACAGTCAAAGACCTAATAAGGACGCGCGGCAAGGACGCGAGACCCTTGGGAGCCGAAATTGGGATTTCTGGGGCGGCGGACGACGAAAAACCTCAAGGACGCAAGAGCAAGGAAGAGCAAGGACGCAAGGGTACCCTGAGCAAAGCCGCGCGTCCCGATTAGGGTTTTTGATTGTATGCCTGGAGCACGTGTTGGGCATGTCCTGCACGTAGCGCCCACGGCCCGCCCGTGAGGGGGCCCCTGCCCGACCTCGCCACTCCGGGGGGGGGCGGGCCGTGGCCCCCCGGAGCTCTCGGGGGAGCTCTCGCGCACCCGGTGGGCGTGCCCGCCGGGCGGGTCTTCGGCGGGCGGGCCTCTCCCCGAGCGAAGGGCTCCGAGGGGCCACGTGTGTCCATCTCCGCCGCCGCCGGCTGGGGCACCAGACAGCCGGGGCCCTGAAGAAGGAACCCTTTTGGTTGGGGAGGGGCTCCGCGTTCCTCAAGTGTTTCACAGCTTGCCTCAGGTGTTCCTTATGTTTTCGATCGGAAATCGAAGTTTAACTTATGGAAAAAAGGGGCCGCGTTCCTTATTTAGGGTTCCTTAGGTCAACGCCCCGACTGTAGGACGTCGGCCCCCAGGATCTATAAGCATGCGACGTCCAGATCTGTTCAATCCGCGGGGTCCCCAAGTTCCGACTTGTTCCCCCAGGGCCGGCTGCTCCTCACGAGTAGTTGTTCTCGGTCCCGGAGCTGGGCGAGGGCCCCCACCAGGTCGTCTCCCAGAGCGGAGAGGGCCATGACCAGCTCGGGGGCGGGCAGGGCCCCCACCCGGACACGTCGATTCGCGGATTGTCCGCTCTCGGTTCTCGAGGGAGCGCCGCGGCCGCTGTTTTCCAAGCTTGCGCCCGCCAGTCGTGGGCCCGAGGTCGGTTTCGTCAAACCGCGTTTTAGCAAGGTGGGGTCTGTGCATCCCCGACCAGCAAAGGTTTGAATTCCTCATGTTGCATCTTCGGGAGACCTCGCCTGTTCCCAATGTTGGTGCCTTTCCTCACGCCCGACGCGGATTCGACACGGATTCGACGAGTCCGACATGGATTCGACACGGATTCGACGTGGATAGGGCTGCGACGTTGCGATGGGACAGACAAGGTCCCCCAGAGGATGCAACATAAACCAGGTCGTCTCCAGAGCGAAGAGTGACCAGTGAAGATTTGAATTCCTCCTCGCGAGTTCCTTCTCCTTGAGAGGGGAAGTGCAGAGAAGTACCGGTACCCATCGCCCCCTCCTTTCAGAGTTGTGCTCAGAGCGCACCACCGGGGGAGTGCCCAGGCAACACCGGGGGCCGCACCTGTTTTTCAGGAGGGAAAAAACACACAGACACAACTAATCGGCAATTCCCCAGGAAATATAGGAAAATATGGGAAGTGGGGGGGAAGACAAAAACCGAGAAAATATGGGAAAATATGGGGCATCTTTTTATTTGTGTGTATTTAATTGTGTGGTTGTGGGCCCCTTCAGTTGTGTTCCCTTCGCCTCCTTCCCTCGCCTTGCCCAAGTCGGGGACGGCTGTGGCCGATCTGCCCCCAGCCCGCGGTTGCGCGGCCTCCTCGTCCCTCCGCTCTCTTCCCGCCGTTCTCCCTCCACGCACCCCATTCCCATCGGGTCGGACGGAAGGGGGAGTGGGGAAAGGGGCCCGGCACGACGTCCGCCGTCAAGCGCTGTCCTCGATACGCTGGCGCCTCGGGAGGCCGCCGGCGAAATCACAGCTGATTGCGCGATTTGATTCGTTGACCCTCCCTTTACGAACCGCCTCCTTCGTCCGACGACCCGATCCCCTCGCCCCTCCTGCCGCAGTTCCCTCCTCCCTACCTCAGTGGGGGGCGAGCGGGGAGCGCATCGGACTGTGGTTGCGCCATGATCATGGGACAACGTCGACACCACTTTCAGCAACATCACCATCTTCATTATCCCTCATCCTCTATTATCCCCACTCCTCACCTCATTCCTCTTCCATTAGATTCCTGTCCTCCTCATTGTTCTCGTGTGATTCCTTCGCCTCTCTCTCTCTCTCTCTGTATATGTATGTTTATCTGACGGCCTTCGGCCCTATCCCGGCACCGTGCCTGGGTTGTGGGTATGAAGCACATTTGATGTTCGTTGGGATCTCGTGGGAGGCCTCTCGGGGGCCTCTTGGAGGCAGTTTGGACGCCCCTTGGGTGGCGTTTCGGGGCATCTTGGGGCTCCGTTTGCTTCTCTTGAGAGCCTCTTGGGGCCTCTTGGGGGCCTCGTGGGGCCTCCTGGGCTTGGGGCCTCATGGGGGCTTCATGGGGGCCTTTGGGGGCAGAAGGCTCGGATGTTCGATTCGTGCTCCCTCTTTTGGGCCCCCTCTGGGGCCGCCTTGGGGCTTTCTTGAGCCGTGTTGGGCCGTTCTGGGTGGGGGCCTCTTGGGCCGTTGTGGGGCCATCTTGGAGGCCGCTTGGGCGGTCTTGGGAACCTCCAGGGCCATCTGGGAGCAGCAGGAAGCCGAAAAGGCGAGAACGCCAACATCTTTCAAACACCAAAGGAAAACCAATGGGTTTGGCCTCCTGTGGCCCTCGTGGGGGTGCTGTTGGAGGCCTATGGGGCCGTCTTGGAGGTGCCTGGTGCCGTCTTGAGGCTGTTGACGTCTTTGAGCGATGTTTCGGCAAGTCGGGGCTCTCTTGGACCGCTGTGGGCGGGCACAGCGTCCAGAGGACTTGCAGGAGACACCCCAGAGCTGACGGGAGGAACCCGGGAAACCCCAGGACGCCCCAGGACAGGACAGCCTGGAAAATGGCTGGTGCTGGCCCTTCAAGACTTACAATTCTGGCTGCAGCAGCAGCACATCCTCTACCTCAGTGCTGCATGAGCCTTGGGCACCCCACTTCATGGCAGAGGTACGGTGGCGGATACTCTGTATTTCGTTCACCTCACCTCCTCGTGCCACTCCCCGCCGCCTCCCTCACGACTGCAATTCTCTCACCATTTTCCTCTTCCCCCTTCTCGTCCTCCTCGTCCTCCTCCTCGTCCTCCTCGTCCTCCTCCATGGTTCTCCTATGCGTCCTCCTCGTCCTCCTCCTCCTCGTCCTCGTCCTCTTTCCCGTCTTCTTTCACGCCCTCCGCCCTCCTCGTTCGCCTGTTCTACCTTCTCCCGCCTCGCTGGGCCTCCCCCATCTCCTGCGTTTCCCCCCTCCCCTCCTCCCTCTTCTCGAGGCTCCTCCTCCTTCTCCTCCTCGCGCAGACTGGCGCCCGCGGGGGCGACCCGCTCGTTGCGAGGTGTGTAACAGCCTGCGCGTCTGAGCACTCCCGCGGTCCCCACTACTGTACCAGCCTGAAACGGCCCCGCCCCTATGATTGACACCACCTCCTTTCGGCGCCGATCCGGAGGCCCCTCGCGGTGTTCCTGGGGCGCACTTCCCTGAGGTTGCCCTCTCCCTGTGGTGGCTTGTCGGTTCTCGGGATGGGTGGGAGGGAGCTCGGGGCAGGAGCACGGCCACTCTGAGATCCGACGCCCTGGTTGGTTCAGCGTGGGGCCCCCAGGAGTCCCCGCCCGATCCCCCAGGGCCCGCCGTCCACCCCGAGCCCCGTCGCTTCTCGACGGCCCCGGGGCCTGGCCGGGGCCCGCGGAGGCTGAAGCGGCGAGAGGCCTCCGCCGTGCCGTCTCCACACCCAGACCCCCTCGAGCAATGAACAAACCACGACCGGGAGGTTTCTCACCATTTTCGGCCTCTGCGGGCCCTTGCCGGGCCCCAGGACCGTCAAAAAACGACTCAGGAGGAGAAACCCGTCCCGGGGAATAGGTCGAAGCCTTTGGGGGTCGACATCATGAACAAATCATGACGTCGGGCGTCTGGGCACGCTGGGAGGAGGAGGAGGAGGAGGAGGAGGAGGAGGAGGAGGAGGAGGAGGAGGAGGAGGGGGTGTGGGCAGGGACGCGCTCGAGGTGGGCTCCTCCCCTCCCCACCCGATCGGTGCGAGGCCGCGGCGGTGCAGCAGGTGCCGCCGCCGCCGAGCGAGCCAGGCGCGGACCTCTCGGAGCCGGAGCTGGGCGCGCTGGCCGGCGACCTCGGCCGGCTGCGCGCGGAGGGTGCGGAGCCCGAGGAGCTCACCGCCGCGGTGGACCTCGCCGCTGGCAGG